CGGTTCATCGAGCCCGCCAAAGCACCAGAACGCACATGTCCGGGCAGCGGCAGCCTGATGGACCGGACGGACCACGATGCCTGTTATGACGGCGTCACTTCTAGTCAACACCGCGTTGGGCAGTCACAGAGTGGCCGGCCGACTCACCTGATTCCGCACATCCTGGCCCTCCCCGCAGTCTGCCCGGCAAGCCTTGCGCACGCAAACATGGTAAGGAGCTCACCGCCGTGGGCAACTAGGCGGCGCACTCGCGGCACGGGATGTGTTCCGTAGAGATCTAATGACAACACAATATATTTCTTGATGTGGTCAGTTCACTGCTTGTGCGGTGTCATTGTGCCCGCCGCCACATGAGAAGTGCCCGTTGTTGCAGAATCAGAATGGTCAGCGCGCGCCATCAGCAATCAGGGACACATCAAATACGCATGTTGTTGTGGTTCTCAATGAGGTAACGAGGTGAAACAACGGGGAACTCACCTACCTGCGACACAAGTAACATGTTGCGGACGAGAACTTGCCAAACCTGTGTTGCTACTGTCAGGCATGCCGCGTACCTCGAACGTGCTTGCGGGGGCCCCGGTTGCATTTTGCAGAATGCTGATAGCTAATTGTCATGACATAATGTCCGCGGCACGGGTTACCAACCAGGCAAGAGGTGTGACTTGACTGTAAATAAAATCATGAGTGCACTGACAGCGGATTCCCATACAGTCGCACATTTTGCCTGCAAACTGTATTACCATCAGTTGTTCGGCACACTTTCTGAGTCAGGTGAGCTGTGATGGAGAAAGTCAGCTCGTGCACAAACCGCTTCTGACCGCTTTTGGGCATATTATAGCCCGGGCAGGGCTTGAGTGCGCTCGCGCGAGGAAGGTGCGATGGGCGGGAATACGAGCAAGGAGGCACCCTAGGACATTCAGACAAGAAACTGGTGTAGCGGGATCATAGAGATATGTACAATTGCCCTGCCGCTCGGGCAGGTAGGCAGCCAGTTTGCAGAACCGGAGAGCATTGCATAGAGAGTGGCGGAAGATGCGTGATTCCGAGAGGAGGCAGGGCTAGCGCGACGAGGGAACGGATAGCATTAGTGCCCGGGCACTTACGACCATCTATACAACTGTACAACTGTCTGTACGACCGTCTATCTGACTGTCTATCTGACTGTCTATATGGCTCTGACAGTGGGCTCTCTCGTCGTTTCCACCGGGCATGTGTGCAGCAAGCACATGGGTCTCCACTCGTTAGATCTGTGATGCTCGTGCCTGAGACGCGTTGATCTATCACAGGAAGACCGTCACCGCAACGGCTTCAACTGCCGACAAGCTAGATTGGCTCAAGTCAATTCCCAGCGGCGCAACTCACGTCGTGAATTACAAGACGCAGAACTTTGCGGAGGAGGTCAAGAAAATGACCAATGGCAACGGCGTGGACGTCATCATTGACTTCGTTGGCCAAAGCCACTGGCAAAAGAACATCGATGCCCTTGCAAGGGATGGCAGGATGACAATGCTTGGACTGCTTAGTGGTCAGTCAATCGCCCTGACCTCAACTGAACGAGACGCCACATCAGATCACAACAGGTGGTAAAGTCGACTCGTTCGATCTGGGTCCGCTCCTGTACAAGCGTCTCCGCATCGAGGGCTCCACGCTTCGTTCCCGCTCGCCCGAATATACTGCAGACTTAATCGAGAGGTGAGTACTGCTCTGCTCCATTGAGGTGTAACCCGGTGCCAAGTGGCAACAGGTTCCAGCGTGACGCTCTGGGCCACATCACGGGAGCTAACGGGGATGGCGCATTGCGGATCTACATCCACAAGGCACGTCCAATCTCTCGTGCCACTTTCTCTCAACATAAGATGACGCCGTGCTGCTCTGATTCTAGGTGTACCCCTGGAATGATATACAGGCAGCCCACCGTGAGATGGAGGACAACAAGAACAGGTTAGTCCCACGGTTTGTTATCAGCGGGGGCACCGCGTTCAGGGGCCTTGGGCTGACCGAGGTGTCGCTGCAGTGGGAAGATTGTCGCCGAGGTGGTGTAAGATAGGCTTGCACCCACGACGGACATTGCAAGCATGCGTGGTTGACGGAATGTTAAGTTCGAGCATTGTCAATGTCTGACGGAATGTTGTGAGTGTAGTCGATGCTGGCAAGAGCCCGTGTTATGGAAGCCCACGCATGGGAGGCGAGGCCCGCCCCACAGCACACGACCTGTTCTGGTGTGTCGCAGCGAACACAATCCGGCAGATGGTGAGTGGCGAGGTGAAGGGAACTGCGTCTTGCACGCACCATTTGTTCGGTATGTTCCACTCCTGCACTCGGACGTGTCCCGCCCGACTGCCCCACCAGTCCGCGCGCTAAGCCTTCAATTGCGGGGCCAATACCGGAAGCGGCCCAAGGTTCACGAAGCCCGCAATGGGCGCTTGCAGGCTATCCCTCGTCGTGACGCCGCCTTGGCTGCATCGCGCACGGAATGGAAGGCCCCCTTAGCCTGGTTGCCCTCGCAATCTGCTCCGACATGGCGCCGCCCCCTGACAGGTTACGCGTATTGCACGTTTCCGCGCGCTGTCGGGGATCGACCCTTTGCGCAGGACAAAGTCAGGGGATCTATCGGGATGTTCACGCCTTCGCGTCCGCGTATAGGCGCCGTCGCGACTGTTCGGCCGCTCGTTGTCCTGCTCGTGGGCTGCGAGATAGACTAGCCCGGTGGTTCTTCCGATACACCATCGGGCATTCGCCGCACACCGACGCGGGAGAAGCGTCGCGCTCGATGGCGTCGAGGTCTGGGTCTTCTTGCTTCCACTCGAACTCGGGGTGCTGCCACTGCGGGCGGCGGCGAGCCAAGGTTCACGTTCAGGATGTGTGAGCGGGTCGTCGGGGGGCGTGCAGCTGTCTTCTGTGCCAGCGGCGTTGCCCGTATAGCCGCACTGTCTTGGGTTTCTGACTGCCGATCTGCGCGCGTCCATTGGAGACGATGTCAGAGACACGCCCGAATCAAGTGATCCATTTACGAGCTGACCAGCATGGCTGAGTCTGATTGGCAGCAAGGCCACTATAGCTCGTCTCGTTCAAGCTCTGCTCGCGATGCATACACAATGCAAGGCTGCTTCGACGTCGAGCGCGGGCCAAGCGTGGGCATCCGTGGATAGGTAGAACACCGTGCAAGCGCCGTCATGTCCAGTCAATGCACAAATAGACGCGCGGGAGGGCCGATCATCCCTGATGGCGCATCCTCTCGCCTAGCGTCGTCGCGTCGTCGTCATCCCTCGCGAGCTGAGCCCGCTCCCGTGTGCGTGGCCGTCCCTCTGCGCGCCTGCCCTGCACACCTGCCTTCCGAGCCTGCCTGCCTCCTCTCTGACATCTGCGACACGCGATCGCTCCCTCGCATCCAAGGCGACGCCTGCTGCACGCAATGGCGCACGCGCGTGCATCCTACCAGCGTCGACAATACGACGTCCGGAACCCAGCCTCAGCGTGCCTCGGCGCGCATCAGCGCACACAGACTTGGGCACAACCACGAGCGCGCCGCTGGACAGGGCAGCATCAGACGCAAGACGTGGGATTGCAGGGAACGCGCAGACTTTGAGCAGCGTCGGCTATCGCGACCGCCACCAGACAGTCTCCGCGCAGACTCGGGCAGATGATCGACCCGCTCAACACACGCACCGCGAGCGCGCCTCCGGAGAAGACACCAGATGTCGAGGCTGCAGACAACGGCAAACGCCTCGTGCAGCGTCAGCCATCGCTGAATGGATCCCGGCCGTGCGTACCATCTTTTTCCCGCGCCGCCTCACTCATTCAGCTGCCACCCTCTTGACGATGCACGCGCTCTAACAATCAAATCCCTCACGTACGTCGTCCAGCCCACTCTCATTGACTTCCCGGTCACTATCTACTCACAAATATACGCCCACGTCCCGCACGCTCACAGCTCGACGACCACACATCTAGACATTTGCCCGCAACCGAGGCTGCGCTCAACCGCCGCCGCCGATATTCCAAACAGCTCGCTACGCCCTCCGCACGCCACACGCCAGCCGGGAACCGAGATGACAGCCCTCGCCTGCATCAAACCGCTGCCGGTGCTTCAGGGCAACAACGATGGCGCAAATCGTCGGCCGTGGACGATGATTCCCACAACGCCGGCGCCGTCAGACTTCCCCGGACGCACAACATCAATACGACAGTGAGGGACGTGGCCCGTGTGCGCCGCCTCCGTCCCGCACCGCCGCCTTACAAGAAACATCCATCGCGCGCCACAATTGCGAGTCGGAACACACACACACACTGCACGCGCTCTATTAACGGTACCCCGGTCACGATCTGCGCACAGCTCCCGCTACCTGTCCACTGGCCTTTGCGCCTCACTACGCGCGCAGCCCGGCGACTGCATCCTCTTGCCACCAGTGCTGCAGAGCGACGACGAGGACGCGGATGGCCTGCACCGCCGCGCAGCCGGGCGAGACGCGATCTGCACACCGCGAGACGCGAACACCTGCCGATCACACATCGCGGTAAGCTTTTGCACGCCCAAACCGTCGTCCGCCACTCACCAGCCAACGCAGATGCGGACGTGCGACACGACGTTCTGGCCGGTCAGCGGTCCGTTCCCAGGAGAGCGCGCACCATTGCAGTCGTCGATCACCGCCTCGTTGATCCCGTCCCAGTGGCGACGAAGGTCCCTAATCCCGCGCACGTCACTGACATCATGCCAGAACACGACGACAGCTTACCTGACCAAGCGCACAGCATAATAGAGCCGGGGCAGGCGAGCAAGACAGCGGGCGAGCAGGACAAAAGACGGCCAGAGCGGAAGCCGAGTCGTAAACCATGCAGCAATCTCTAACGACCCCTGCCTTTAAATCCCTCGCACGCTCTCCCGACCTGTCGCCATTCCCACGACTGCCGCCCGGGCATCTTACCCATGCGCCGCGGCCCTTGTCTCGCATCGGCTGCCGCGTTGCTAAGCTGTTACTCACCCGAACCCATGACGGCAGCCCCCCGCGTCCCCGCCCGCGTACCTGGGCGCGGTCATTCTGCCTGACGCGGACGGACGCCCTCGCCGACGTGCGCACCCGCCACGTCTACCCGCCACAAGCCCCCACATCGCCCGTCACCCTCATCGCTCCGGTGGCGACGCCCGCGTCGCACGCAGCGTCCCCGCGCAATCGATGCTGCGCCCGCGCGTGCGCATCCTCGCATTTGCGCCATTCGCGTGCGTGCCACCGTGATCCCCGCGACCCCGCGTGCCCTGATCGGCATCTTGGCTCCTCGCGGATGTGCACGACACGCCGTGCCCCTCACGACACGCCGTGCCCCTCACGACGCGCGCGCGCCGGCCTGCCGTCATCCCGGGATGCCCCCCACGAGCTCCCCGCGCGGGCCGCTGCTGCGCGCGTGCCTCTGCTGGATTCTGGGGGCGGGGAACACCTCGACACAGGAGGCGCTGACGGTGCCCGTCCGTCAATCAACACCAGCCAGGCGGGAGAGCCCGCACACACCGCCCGCGCGTCCGCGACTCGGGCGCGAAACCAAGTGGCTCTGCTCCCACAGTGCCGCGTGATCACAGCGGGCCAGTGAGCCTGGTGCAATCCCCCGGCTTGGCGGTTGCGACGCTGGAACCCGCTGGATGATCGAATAACCCGCGGTCTTATGGCAGAGCGCTGTAACGTCAAACGCGGGCATGCGATATCGTCGATCTGCACGGTGAAACCAGCGGGAATTGCCATACGGTGGCGTTTATGGCGCATATTCCATTCCAATCGACGTGGTGCGTTCGCGCCGTGGGCGGCGTCGAGGGCGGGACACGCGTTGCGTGCGCAGTCTCCCAGACCCGGTCATGATGCGCTGGCCATGGCATCGCATGCACTCAAGCGTCGCGAGCGCCCGCCGCCGCCGCCGCAGCATTACTACGAATGCGTACAGAAATGTAAGATATATTTCAATTGGCGACACCGAAGCGTGTGGTGCGTAGACGGAGGGCTAAGACTGGCCGCCCACGCCGCCGTCCACCGACGCAGTCCTGCCGACCGCGCGCAGCCCGTGTGGCGCCTTGCAGAGACGTACCGCAGCCCGGAGCGGAGGAGCGGCACACGGCCGCCGTCGCAGACACCATTGAGTCGAGTCGGAGGCTGGGTGCACAGCAGAACACGTCGAGCCGCGCGCTGCAGCACGTCTATTCGAGTGAGGTGAGTGACCACCGGAACACGTCAAATAGCACAAGACTCACTTCAGTCTACCATCGCGAAGCCATCAGCGTCCGTCTGCGTGCCCTGGGTCTGTGCCCGCGCTCTGCCTGTGCCGACGCCCGCGCTCTGCACGACGCCTCCCCCGCCATCTTCTGGCCTAATGCGCACGCCGGGCCCACAACCACATGAGCCTCGAGCGACCGTGGGTGGCGTTGCGGATGGAGCGCGCGTGCGCGCGCAGTCTCCCGCACTCGGTCAAGACGCGCTGCCCATACCGTCGCGCGCGCCCGCAGCAGCAGCAGCATTACTACAAATGCACATAAAAGTGTAAAATATATTTCGTGTGTGACACTGGAGCGTGCGTGCTTAGACACAGGGCCAAAACGGACCACTGTCGTCCACCGACGCGCACCGGCTGACGGCGCACAGCCCGCCCAGAACATCTGTAAGGCGCCCCGCAGGGACGCACAGTAACCCGGAGCGGAGGGGCAGCGCACGGCAGCTGTCGCGAACATCACCCAGTCGAGCCGCTCATCTCTGCACACGTCACTGCCCTCGCGTCTGCCATGTCCCGTCTGCCGGCGCGATCGCATGCACCGCCATCCGCCGTCCTATTGGTCGACGATGAGCACGCAGCACTACCACAACCGAGGACCTACCGCCGCGCGCACCCAAACCGCCCCTTCCAAATGCGCCGCATCGGTCGTTCCCCCGTAAGCAGCCCCACAGGCATCAAGGCCCGGTCAGCACGTTCACCGTTCAAGTGCGAACAGGCACCGACTTGCTCCCACGTCCAACGCACTCCGTGCCAGCCTATCGTGCGGCGCCATTTGCTTGCGGGCGAGCGAAGGTCAGGGCGCGGCAATACAAGGCGACGTCAGGTATGTGCAGCGATGCCCCTCTGCCCGCCCTTAGCAGCGGCAGCGTCCTGTCCCGCACAGGTCGTCCCATGGTCACGCCATCTCCGCGCCCGCACCAGCAGTGTTCGAGTACCACGGCCCGGTCAGCGCATGCTTCGTCGATGCGTGTGCAGATACTCTCGCGCTGCAATCATCGCGGCGGGCGGCGGTCAGCCGTCCTCCGCGGTATCCCAGTGTGCGCCGCGCGACTGCTGCCAATGATCGACCTGCGTGTCCATGCTCGCCCGCAAAGCACACCCACTTGTTACGGGCACCTCCCGCTACTATCTGCCGTCGGCGGTCCTCCTTGATAGTGACAACAAATGGACGCCCGGCCAGAAGCATTACACCCGTGTCGTCAGTCTCACACCCCCTGATACAACGGTCTACACTCCTATATTGATGCCTGACTCGTAGACGACGAGCGAGGACTTATGGACAGTGCGTCGTCCTGAAGATCGAGCGAGGAGGTCGAGAATGACCACTACCCCAAGCGAAGAGGAGCAGAGACTTGAATGAATAACCAGGTCGAACTTAGGGTTCGACCGACTAATGGTACAACTACTTATACAAGTACCGACTGCGCACGGACCATCGTGTCTATGTGGTCGTGTTAGTGAAGGAAGAAACGTAGTGGTACGATACCAGGCACGAAGTGCGCACGGACCCCATTATGTAAGCTACATAATGTTCAACCTGCGGGTGAGCGCTTAAGACAGGCGCCAGTATGGGCGCTAGTAGTACAAGAGATAGAACGGAAAGACAAATGTTTCATTACCCCCCTACCAGAGTCGAAGTCCCATTCGACTACTTACTGCTCACCGT